CAAGTCCACCTTGCCACTGTCCTCGAATACCACGCCCGCCATCCCCAAGTACCTCGCCACCCTCCTGACACCGAGAGGGCGAGAGGTCCGTCTCCCCTCCTTCTCGATCTCGATCTGTGTCCGATCTCCACCTTCTTCTCAATTTCGATACGATTGTTACGCGCGACGCGATCAGGCAGTTGTTGTTGGAGGATCCTCGTGAGCAGTTGGGGATCTTCGTGAGCCGTTTCCTCTCTGCCGCCCTGCCGGTACCAACCTGTCAATGCGTCCTAGGCCTACATGGGCGGTGCAGCAGCGAGCCACTCGGTGGCGACGACGGGGTAGCAAAGTGGCATGGCGGCGCAGCGCTACGCCAACCAGTGGATTCAAGATTTGGTTCCCAGAGTATGCCTACTTTTGATTTTGTTTCCCCTGCATAATGCATATATTGGACTCCATACTATACAATATTTAGTTATTAATGTATACATTTACACTGCATACTGCTCTGCTTTTCTTACAAATAATTCACTCATGTGGGCCGTATACAATCCTTTTCATGAAAGAGTTCAGTCGTGTATGTTGTAGTCAGTATGTATATATATTTACTGACATCTGTGTTTTGTTACCATGTTTCATGACCAATATATATATGCATGTATATTACCAGTTTGTGATTTGGAGATTAACCTGTAGCAGCTCAATATGTGGATACTTCTCCTATGTTAGGATAAGGATTATCCAGGTAAGATGAAATAAGCAAGTGCATTGAAATTAACCCTCCTATATAAAGGCCCACTTGCAAAGGTCCTTCTCTTTCATTTCTTTTACATTACCAGTCATATAGGCCTGATTAATCTGTACCTTCCAAGTTGCTCTGTTGAATGGTTAGAGTTGGGTTAAGAACTGCTTATCAGGACCTGTCATTTTTCTTCATATTTACAGGTGGTAGTATGTTTTAATCTTGAAACATATACTTTGTAGATTCCCAAATATACGTAGGCGAGTTAGAAAAACATGTCAATACACATTTTTCATTCCATGCGCCAATGAACGATGTTTATTTTACCTTTCATGTTTATCTTAGGTATGAATTTCTCAGCTGTTGTTTCCCTTTGGCCTTCTATTAAAAACGTGATCATATGAAAAAAGATGCCTCTATGCCTACCTCGGCAAGGCCACATGTGCTCAGGGAAGGCCTACTTGAAAAACCGTCCTTAGTCATCATGTATGTAATGTCGTATTTTCCTGTCATGGTTCCAACGGTTTCTTATGTTTACTTTTTCTTTTCATTTATTGAACAAATTACAATTTTAGAATAATTTACATGAAAGCCATATAGCACTTTGTAATCATAATAATCAAACTACATTCTGTTGAAGTTTAAATTCACAACAACCAAAGAGGCTTCCCCTGTTTGTCTCAACGTCCCTGACATATCTGTATGTTACGCAGAATGCCCTGATAGTCATTATAGCGTTATCCTCCTACAATAAGATGATACATGATATATGCAGATTCTCAATTCTAGCTGAAGCGTTTTTGTTAACCTTGGTAGACAGAAATTGTAGGATTCCATGGCATCATCTTTTGGGATTTGGGTCACTACGAGGCCAGGAGCCCAGGAAGATTCAGAATTCAGCATTTGAAGATGACATGCCTACGTCAAGGATGGGCAATATTTGCTTTAGGGTCCGTTCGGTTTTCTTGGAATACACCAGGAACAATTTCAGCTCCTTAAAATTAATACAAATTATTGAATCATTCCGGCTAGGAATTATTCTAGGGCTCTATTCCTAATCAACCGAACAAGGCTTTATTGGAAAGAATGTTGTATTCTTGACTGTATTTCTTGCCGGTCCATTTGTACATGTTTATTATGCACCTCCCACTTAATCTTTCCTTGATAATGACACCATGTTCAATTTTTTTTTAGGTATAACCAATAAAATTGTACTGAAAAGTTTTTTTTTTGTTTTGCCTATATGAGAAAGGTCGATTACTATTATAGTCGAACATTTATTGTCTATAGTCACTTTGTATTCTAACTACACAGTACTCAAAACTGTGAGTAAAATTTATGAGACAAATTGGAAAACGTATAGCTGGCTAAAACCAACAAGCACATGTCGCTACGGCCAACATGAGAAGATCATAGCATGCCAGAATAGGCTGGCAAATAATCTAACGCATGCGCCAGCAGCATGCATACATGGCGTCCATACGTAAAAATCAAAAGAACAGACCTATATAGTGGGCGCGCGGCGAAGTGCGCGTGCCGTCCTAGTAGGTCACACGCGCTCCGCTGCGCGCGCAGACGTGATGGGAGACTGGTTCGCCGCGGAACTTGTTCAGTCTGTTTGCGCACAGTTTGATGATGGTTGTAGAGGCTCGAAATCCTTTGGCGTGGGATGAAGCGGACATTTCACAGGTCTAACTATAGCATATTGAAAGCACAATTACACTGTACAAAAGCATGACATGTCATTTTAGGCTGTGGAACCCGAAATGAAGGACAAACAATACAGGCAATAATATTAACTTGGCAACTGCGGTTCACACAGGTACAATTATAACGTCTCAAAAAAAAGGTACAATTATAACAATGCAAATCACTATAGGGCTAGAATCACATTGCTTCAGTAGTGTTTTAGTTACACAGTGAATATTAGTACAACAATGCACTAATCAGTGCAAGCTAGTATAATTAAGCATAAAAGTAGATGCCACTGCCATCTGAAGTATTATAATATAAACAATTCACTAATTTTGGTATAATGAAGGCAACAATCTGTAAGTCATCTTTGATTGTTGTGGATATAATCTAACTGGAACATACAATTTACATAGTATTGTAAATCATCAGTTCATGAACAATTATAGCAACCTGAAAGGTCATACCTGAAAACATCAAAGACATTGTTTCTGAAAATAAGGGAGAAAAATATATGATCAAACATTAAGAGTGAAGGTAAAAATTTCTAAAGTACTGGATGAACCTAGAGAACAAAGAAGCTTTGAATTGAACAACATGGATGTATTTTTTTAGGAGGTGTAATAACATAATGTGAAGTTAACTTGGAAACAGAGTTTTTTTTTTCAGCACAGAATACATTTTTTTTTCATTCTTACAAATCTTCAGAGTTTCAGAGCCTTAGACAACATGTTCAGACTTCAGAGTTTCATAGCCTGAGAGCAATATTCAGACTTCCAGAGTTTCAAAGCCTAAGGTACAGAGAAAATGGAAGATTGTATTAGTATAAATATAGAGCAAAGGCACCACATGTTCAATCTGAAAATGACTAAATCAAACTTACATTCATGTGCCTGTAATTATGTGCTACATAACAGCGTCCTACCATGATATTCAAGTTTTTTTAAAAAAAAAAATATAACTCAATAGCTAATACCAACATAAGAAACCTGGTAATGGATAGATTAGTACTGGCCAAACAAATCCATAGACCATACATATGGTGAACACTGCAAATCCATAGACCATACATATGGTGAACACTGCAAATCCATAGAGTTTTCTCAGGTAGAGGTTCGGTATAGTTGAATATGCATATAGAAAATACAACTAAAGCAAGCAAATAGTTTTATAGAAGTATATAACAGAGTAAAGCAATAAACATACTTATGAAAATGAGGCGGGATGGACTTGATCCCATATACACTTGTATGGGCAGTGGAGTCTATATCAATTAAAGGTGGTCAATAGTTGAGTTTGATGGTCAAGCATTGACAACCTACAAATATTTGAAGTGGTACAGAGTCACTTCTTTTAGCAAGGGCATGGACATTGTTATGTATCCTTCCATTGCTTTATTCTGTGAGAGCAGTAGTACCTAACCAGCAGACCTCAATATATATATATATATATATATATATATATATATATATATAAATAACATAATGAACACTTGTGTATTTCTCAGCAGTGTCGTCACAGCTAAATAGTTACAGATTGCATTGACACCAAAGAGAAATTTCTTGGCAACGCATGCATAGCCTAAAATGCTCTATGAAGAAAAGAAGCAACAGAAGGACCCTTAATAGTGTGGCTTTCAGAATAAGGTTACTATTTCAAATCGTTGCTGAGGTTCGGTAATTCTGTCTGTGACAGCCTTGAGCAGCAAAGAAACCAGAAAAAACTTGTTTTGGGATGCCTGTTGTGTTCACATTAGGAATTCTGTGCCGGCCAATGCAGAGCAGCAAAGTCCTGTAGAAACACATTTGTCAGTAACTCGGCATCCCTTCAGCACTGATATTGAAACCAGGGTGCAAGCAAAATAAGTAGTACTGATCGAACCAGGCTGTGTTCTGACTAAACTGGAATATACAATGAGAAATTGCGAACCAGTTGCATCAAGTTATGATTTATCATGTGTAATGTTTACTGCTGATTTTTATGCTGGGCGCTATTATAAAATATGAGCAGTGTTCTCAATTTCAAAATATTCAGGGGAAAATGCAGAACATACGACCATCCAAGTTCCTTTAGTTGGAGCAGCAACAAATTCCAAGAAGCAAGATCTGAGAACAGGTCCTCCTCCCAAACCAAAACCAACTGAGAATACACATTGGACTGCCAAATAATCGGGTAGTCAGTCCTCTCTCCACCATTGGACTTCCATAATATTTTATGCAAGGGAAAACAAAACCTGATCGCAGGCAAACAGGGCATGATACCTGCCAACATGTCTTACTTTCATGCAACGATGATAAGCCAGCTAATGAGTTTATCTAGTGTACACATGAATAAAATAAAAGCATATGAGATCCAGTGAACTTGAAAATTAATCAGACATGCAAGGTAACACAGTCCTAGCTGTGAGATCCCATCCCAGTTTCTACTAGACAGCCTTCCGATCACTTAGCCAGTTGCTTCCTCAACTTTGGCCTTCTCCTTCCTCTTCTCCACAAGCTTCTGACAGATAGAGCAAACAAAGGGCAGTGAGATCCTAGAAGACATGATACATTCTAATGTAAAAGCAAACAGGCATTAACTTACAAGTTCACAGATCTTGCAATACCAAACTGGTGATAGTGTTCAGTGGTAATGCATCCGTCCTCAGAATGACATCAGGGACATGCTCAATGTTTCGCCAATTTGGATGATCTTTCTTTTTACAGGTCTCCACAAACCTCTCATGGCAATCACAGGCAACAAAATATTGTAACTTTGCAGGTAGAGTTGGGAGAGATTGTATATTTTTGCATCCATTCAAAACCAGGCAGCACATGGATGTGAGGCACTCTAAATTGCTGGGTAACATGTCAATGCTGCAGTCCTCAAACCAAAGAGTCAAGAGAGAATCGAACTGCAACAACACTTCCTCATCTCCCAGTTTTTCAGAACACAATATCTGAAGAAAATAATGACGGGCACAAGCCTCCCTTGAGAAAAGCTTCTTCACAACTGACAGGCCATCAATACATATGGAACCGACAACTCGAATCTTCTCATCATCTCCAAGGGAACTGATATTAGGACATCCAACAATTGTAAAATCAAGAGTTTCCCGTGTAAACTCACTTATGCCTTCTATACTAGTGAAATGGAAACAATTACCAATACTGAGCATCCTGAGCTTAGATAGAACACTGATTGCATCACATGAAATTTTTGTAAAAAAAGGAATGCAACCAAGCTCTAATCTGACTAAGCCTGAAGAGCCTTTAATCCAATTATTAACAACAGTATCGGTGACAATACAGCCCGATATGCTTAAATCCTCAAGTGAGAAAGGCAGTAATACCTTGCAATAATCATCGTCATTTGTCTGCCCGCATATGAAAGGGACTGCTCTTGAAACCATACCTGGATGAACATATTGGTGCCTACGCCCACCAAAACTATCAGAAATATTACGCATGAGCTCCCGAAACGTTATAGGTTCCTCATCAGCAATCCTATACATTTCTCCAGAATCAGTAATGTTCAGCGATGGAACAGTCTGACGGGTTTGATCAAACATTAGCTTCAAGAACTCCACATCTTCAGCACATGTCAACAACAAGGCCTCGCAATCAGATATTTGTAGGGTTTTCAGATTTTGAGGAAGTATCGGCAGACTCTTTAGTTTGGGAAGACTTCTGAGTATAAGCTCATGAAGATGGACAAGTTCTCTGATTTCTGGAAGCGCTTCCAGTTTAAGACAAAGCTCAAGCTTAAGGCGCTGCAAGTTCCTTAGCCTTTGTTGGTCCTCTGACAGCTAGCTTGGGTACTGGGAACCACCATAGCAAGAGATTTTCAGCCGTGTAAGCGAACAAGGAGGCTGGAGGACCTCAAGTACCTCTGCTTGGAGACCCAGGGGACAACTGTGATGCTCAGTCCATACAAGCGACACTTCTGTAAGATACTTCTTGTCAACCAATTTAGCTTGTAATGCTGCTGCCTTGCTTTTAACATTTTCTAGTCCACTAATTTCCAAGCTAGCATGAAGATGATTCAAGCTCCCTAACTGTTGCAACTCATACCCTTTCTCCTTCTTCACATTAAAGTGACCCAATGTCCGAAGCAAGGCTAACTTTCCAATTCCTGGGAAATGCAAACAATGTTTCATAGGAATGTATGGAGGGCCCAAAGACATGCCTTAAACTGATAAGATTGTTCAAGCTTTTCACATTGGAACAACTCACGTCAAATGGTCCAGTGAATTCTATGATCTATAAGTGATATAGCTGATCAAATTTTCTTGGCAAATCTATATGAATTGGGCTCCTCTTATGAATGCTCAAGTATCGCAGGTGTCGCAATTTACAAACTGAGGCCAGAACCATTCCATCTCCTTGAACCTTTACTTTTAGAACACGCAGATTCCTTAATTTCTTAATTATGGCATCAAGAGATTCTTCAGTTAAACCATTTCCTTTAGGACTGATGATTAGTGTTCGCAGCTTCTTCATTTTGCAGATACCCTCAAGGACCTCCATTGGATCATATAGATCTACATACAGATACCGGGTGTTGCCAGGTGGTGTTTTTCTTTTTGGATCACCCTCCTCAAACCTAAAGCAGTCGCTGCCACTTGCCCTCCCAGCTAATTCATGGATCAAGTCATGCATATGGAACATTCCGTTGTCTTCTTTCTTGAGAAACGAGCAAGAAACTAGTTCATCCAAGTATTGCCCCCCCCTACATCTTCTAAATCTTCATCTGCGTTTGCATTGACAAGCCCTTCTGCTATCCACATATTCAGTAGTTCATCGCGCTTAAATCTCGTGGCTTTAGGGAAAATGCTACAGTAACAAAGCAGCGTTGAACCTTATCATCCAGATTCTGAAAACTCCACCAAAGAGAACTCATTGTACCAGTAAACAGATTTTCACCTGCAACTCTTCTCCAAAAAGTCTAGCTCTGAGTTCTCCTGGGAAGGACGTGCTCACTCTGTGAATGCATGGCTCTCTCCTGGGAGGTACAATGTGCTGGAACGCCTTCTTTTCGCCTACATTGACCCTCCGATCCCTGTTGCTGAGGTCCCCGGTTTCCTCCGGGCGGCTCTAGCGACGGTGGAACCTCTCATGCCGGTGGAGTTCCTCCCTACCACTCGGGGAGCCATGCTTTTTCGCTGCGAAGATCTCGCGGCCAGGGACACTCTACGGTACCACAGCCCTATCTACCATGAGGGTGTTCAACTCTCCCTCCAACGCCCGGACGAATGCTCCAACCGCTTCTACCGCATTCCTCCCTAGCTAGCCTACGTGCATGTGCTCGACTTTCCAAACGAAAGACCGCAAGAGGACAAGATCAAGAAAGCTTTTGCCGGCTTCTGCGACGTCGCTGAGATTGACCCAGACTGTCTCACTGACAGCAATTTCGGCCCTCTGCGCCTCCTACTGGAAGTCAATGAGCAGCTGGAGATACCTTACGAGGTCCACGTCTCTGCTCGCTTTGGCTGTGGTCGATTTGGTGGGGTCGCGCGAGTCATGCCCATCCGAGTGTGGGATCGCTCGGACCAGCTCGACGATGACGGCAACCTGACCCCGTTCTTCAGGCACGGTCCCGCTCCGCCTCCACCAGGACCCTAGCAGGGCCCCCCCTGCTCCTTTCGGGCGGGAACAGCAGCGCCAGCCTCCCCAACACCCGACAAACCGGCGTTTCCCTCCACCGGCACTTGATGCTGTTATGCCTGCCCGGGACCGCGCCGTGAACGCGAACCCGGCTCATGTTCTGGGCCTAGCACTTGCGCTGGCTCGGTGTCTCCTAAATGGCGCCAATCAGCATTTCGTCCTCGAGCCGTCGCAGTCGACTATCAGCTCCCCTGGGCTGCCAGTCCCTGACGAAGGCGGGCAAGAGCTCCAGGAGTCTGTACCGGCCTCGTCTCCTCCTCACGCCTCCTCTGTTTTCAGCTTTGACTTCGTCACCCGCATTGATTCTTGACAACGCCGCCGCTGAAACCATGCAGTGGCCGGGCAGGTGTCTCTGACGCCGCACGGCAGACAAAGCGCGTACGCGCTTCTTCCCCTCCTCCTCACGGCACAGCGCACGCATCGCTGAACGGACGAAGGGCGCCTTCGTCAATGTCCCAAACCAAGCTGTTCGTCGCAAAGCCTTGGTGAATGCGTTGGCGGGCTGCTCCTCCGCTCTCAAAAAACAGGTGACTAAGCGTAACATCCTGACCCGCAACAAGATCCCCATGAGCGCCAAGGAGATCCGCAAGCTCGTCTCGGCAGCCACTGCAGGCTACTCCTCCGCCGCTTCGGTCGGCGTGGTGACAGACGTTGCGGAATGCAGGCCTCCAGCCACTGCTCTCTGGGACCCCGGATCAGACGGCCGTCCGGGTTCCTGCTCCAGCAAGGCCAAGCTATCTGCCTTAGTGTTAAGCTCAAGCTTTGTTCGCTGTTCTGTGTTTTTTCTCTTAAAACCACCTTTCATGTAACTATTGATCTGCTACTTGGGTGTCATCTGTTTCTGAAATGAGTCTTCTGAACTCTGGATCAAATCGTTCACTCTGTTTTGTCGTGGAATGTGCGCGGCCTAGGCGACCCGGATAAATGCAATGTTGTACGTGATGCAATTTCTTCTACTAACCCAACTGTTATGTGCGTCCAAGAATCAAAATTGCACAACATCGATCAGTTCAAAATCAAAACCTTCCTACCCCCTCAACTTGCCTGCAGCTACAAATACATACCAGCCGTCGGGTCCAGGGGTGGCATTGTCACTGCCTGGAGCCAATCTTACTGGTCCTGCTCCGACTTCACTCTCAAAAACCACTCGCTCACTACTCTTCTCGTCACCACGCTGTCTGACCACTCACTCACTGTCACAAATGTCTACAGTCCGTCAGACCATCGTCACTCTAGTGACTTTCTTCGTGAACTTCAGGACCTATCCTCCAATATCAATGGCCCCTAGGTCATCATCGGAGATTTCAATCTTATCCAGTCGGGGGATGAGAAAAACAACGTCAATGTCAACATCCCTCTTATGAACACCTTCAATGACACCATCAACTCCTTGGGGGTGATGGAAATCCCACTGCTTGGACGTAACTTCACCTGGTCCAACGGCCAGGAACCTCCAATCCTAGCCAAGCTTGATCGAGCACTGGTCAACCTCGCCCACACTACTACCTTCCCTGATACTTCACTCTCACCCAGGGCAAAGCCAACATCCGACCACACCCCGTTGTTTCTTTCCATGTCCACCTCCATTCCGAAATCCAGTGTTTTCCGCTTCGAGAATGCTTGGCTGCACCGTCGAAATTTCCTACAAACTGTCCTTCCTGCGTGGGCTGAAGCACGTGTATGCAGCGATGCGGCGGGTCAGCTTGCAGCTTGTCTCAAGTCGGCTAAAGCCACGACAAAGGTTTGGGCACGGCGTTTCAGGGCGCCTCGCCAAATAATTTCCAACTGCAAATTTATTATCCTCTTACTTGATTCCTTTGAGGAGGAGCGGGCTCTTTCTTTTGATGAGTTAGAGGCACGCATGACTTGTATTGACTGCCTCGCCCAAGCAATCAAAGAGAAAGCAGCTTAAATCAGGGAAGGCGATGCAAACACTGCCTTTCATCATGCCCAGGCCACCGTCCGTCTGCGAAACAACACCATCCGATGGGTTGAAGTGCACGGCTCGGTGATTGCCAACCATGACGGGAAAATACAAGCTCTCACCAACTTTTTCAGCTCCATCATCGGCAAACCAGGGACCTCAGCCTGGAACTTTGATGTGCATGCTCTCTTCCATGACAGACAGCGGCCGTCCAGTGAGCTCATCGCTCCTTTCTCTGAATTGGAAGCCTTCAAAGCTCTGAAATCCATGGACAGATCAAGTGCACCGGGCCCCGACGGTTTCGGACCTTCTTTTTACAGGGCGGCCTGGAGCAGTATAAAGTCGCAGGTCATGGCCTTCCTGCAAGCCTTCCAACAGAGGCAAGTGCAGCTAGGGAGGATCAACCGTTCTTACATGGTGCTTATCCCAAAAAAGCCTGGAGCTGTAGCTATGGACGCATTTAGACCAATATGCCTACAAAATTGCTCCATCAAGATACTTAGCAAAATGCTCACAAGAAGACTGCAGAAAGAGATTGGGAACTTGATTGACCTACACCAAACAGGCTTCTTAAAGGGTCGCTCTATCTCTGAAACTTTCGTCTTTGCAGCTGAACTGATTCAGACTTGCAACAAAAGGAGACTGCCGACCTTGGTGCTTAAGTTAGACTTTGCGAAGGCCTTTGACACAGTGATTTGGGAGAGTTTGGACACTATTCTAAAGGCCAGGGGGTTTCATGATAGATGGTGTGCTTGGATGCGGGATACCCTATCCTCATCGAAATCGGCGGTGCTTGTTAATGGTTGCCCGGGCCCTTGGATTACATGCAAACAGGGCCTGCGACAAGGTGATCCGTTGTCGTCCTACCTCTTTCTTCTGGTGGCTGACTCTCTTCAGGCTATGATCCGGTCAGCAGCGACGGTCAGGAGTCCGGTGGACAGTGACAGCCCCTGTGCGGTTCTTCAGTATGCGGACGATACTCTGCTGGTTCTACGGGGTGATGTTGCTGAAGTCCAAGCTTTGAAGAATATCCTGCAAGCTTTCTCAGAGGCCACAGGTCTAAAAATCAACTACAGCAAGAGCACCTTAGTCTCCATTCACATGGACGCTGGCTTGGCAGCAGACTATGTCACCATCATGGGGTGTGCCCACAGTCTTTCCCTCAAAACTACCTAGGCCTCCCTCTATCGGCCTCGAAATTGCCAGTCTCAGTTTTCTCAACATATGTCGACAGGACCGACAAATTCCTCTCCTCCTGGCAAGCTTCCCTACTCAATACCATGGGCCGAGTCGTTTTGATCAACTCGGTCCTAGATGCACAGCTGGTGTACATTATGTCAGCAATGCAGATTCCTCAAGAAACCATCTCCCAGATAGATAAACGCCGCCGCTCCTTTCTTTGGGCCGGCAAGAATTTTCAGGCGGCAAATGTCTTGTGGCCTGGACCAACGTTTGCACGACAAAAGAACTTGAGGGGCTTGGAATCAGGGACTTCGGCACTCACAACATCTGCCTGCTCCTTAACCTTGTCCACCGCCTCCACTGCGCTGATGCATCGGCATGGGCACAGTGGATCAGGGGTAAGGCTGATATTGCAAACATGAAAGGGGAAAATCTTGGACATCACTGGGAGCTACTTCAGTCACTGCTACCACTTTACCAAGCACTGACAACGGTGGAATTGGGGGATGGCCGATCAACTCTTCTCTAGACGGATGCCTGGAATGGCGACGAGGCGTTGGAAGATCGTCTTCCACGGCTCTTCTCCCATTGCACCAGGAAAGATTCAACGGTGCAGCAAGCTATTAACTCCAACCTTCATGGCTGCTTTGTAAATCGAATGTCAACGCAGGCAAATGATGAGTTGCAGCAGCTTAAGGTTATCCTCCAACAAACCCAATTGACGGATCAACCGGACACACGGCTGTCGGCATTCAGTCGGACAAAGGACAAGCTCGACACCTCGGCCATCTACAGGCTACTCAAAGCCCAAGGACATCAAGATGACCCCTCTTCGGCTTTTATCTGGAAGAACGCGACGCCACCTCGGGTTCAGATGTTCTTCTGGCTACTCCTCAGAGGCAGAATCCAATGCAGGGCAAACCTATACCGCAAGAACATCATGGACCTGCCAAACTGCCTCGTCTGCGGAATGGACGATGAGACGCCTGATCACCTAATCTTTGAATGCCCAATCGCTTCACAGTTCTGGCGGGTGCTTGGAATACAGCCTGATGGCCTACATTGCAGAAACTGGCACCATATTCAGAGAGTGTCTGGAATCCCCGATGACCAATACAGTGCCTTCATCATGATGTGCTGCTGGGTGCTTTGGAAACGCCAAAATGCGTTTGTTTTCAGAGATGAAGTGATCCCTATTAGAACCATTTTTCTACAATGCAAATCTGAATCAGCAAACTAGAAAGCTCGTATGTCAAAGAGAAGCAAGCGAGTTGCTGAGGATTGGAGCACGGTTCTCCAAATGGCAATCAACTCGGTCCCTATGTAATATGTCTTATGGAATCTGTCTAGATGCTCTGAAATCCTAGCGAAAACCCCCTGTACAAAGTCCATGTAATCATGTAACTTGAGCTTTACTCAATAAATCAGGTGGGGATCAATCCCCCCGTTGAAGTGTTCAAAAAAAAAAGCTGCATTTAACTGTTTCCGCAGTCGGGCTGCCACTACCGTTGCTGCTAATGGTGACCCCTTCAAAATTTTCACTATCTCCCTCCCAATCATCACAAACTCCTCACGTTCTCTGTCAAGCTCGGCACCATCAAGTGCACAATGGAAGAAGAGATCAACCAAGTCGTTCTCATCCATGTCAGGTATTGGAATGAAAACTTGAGCACCAAGCGCTTTGGCAGCATCTCTGAATCGAGATGTAGTCAGGATCTTACTTCCTCTTTTCACATTCTTCAGTGGAGAGAGTAGACTCTTCAAGTTATGTTCAGCCACATTCTTGTCAGGCCATATATCATCAAGGACTAGTAAAACCTTTTTGTTTGTCAATTCAGCCTCTAGCTTCCTTTCAAGAGTATCAAAATTCCTAAATTTGGAAGATGGCTCTCCTGTAGCTGCCTCAAGCATCTCTTGGTAGATCTCACCGATATTAAATGTTTGTGAAACATTAATCCAAATGATAAGGGAGAAGTATTTTTCTTCTCTTTCAACTGTGCAGACATATTGTGCCAGGTTTGTCTTCCCTGATCCTGCCACTCCATAGATCCCTATCACTGAATAACACTGACTGACACTAGCACTTGCGTCACTATCATCGGGTGCTTCATGGAGCATTCATACTATGTTTTCGCAGTCATTGTTTCTGCCAAATACAACTTCTGGAAGAGCTGAGGTTGTACCAAACTTCATCACTTGGTCTCTGGGGATTGATGTGTCACTATGATTATCATTTGCACATGTCAACTCAGGCAAAAACTGGGAACCTTCTACAATGAGTTTCTCTAGCTTTTCCAAGATCCTCCTCAACCCTTTTTCTTTGATAGCACGAACCATAATCTTAATAGTTGTCTGTGGAATAACCTGCATTTCAATACAACAGTGCTACATTTTAGCACCTATATTATATGATATATAACAGTGCTACAAAAAACATCAACTTGTATTTATAAACATATGACTTAATAAATTGCACTGTGATTTTGAATATTGATGCCCGTTGCAGGTACAAGTAGAGTCAAACACTAAAAATCTTCAGTGGAAGCAGCCCTATGCATATAGCTAGAATAGTTGCAGATACAAAGTAGCATTTATAGTAAACAAAATCACTTCAAGCACCAATTCTGTGAGATCTCATAGTAATCACACCAGTTATAATGCAGAGTATAAAAATTGCTTGCTATCTCACCAATCTTAGCTAGCAAAGAATATTGCAAGAAACAACTTCCCTAGACCTTCTAGGTTCGTACCTACGACCTACTGCAATGACGCATGCATCATGTATAGAACTATTTCAGTTATACAAGCAATGCTCCCCTCAAAAGAAGTCATACAAGTAATGCTGCCATCAAAAGAGATCAAACAAGTAATGCAGCAAGGGTAGTTAAGCAAAACAAGCCAAGGGATGCATCATCAGTGGTGACAAAATAGCATCAACCTATGTAAACATTTTATCTCTTAGGTAGAATGCTCAATTCACACCTATACATCAGTCATGCATAAACCAACCACACTTGATACATTTCAACTTTTGTTCCTAAAAGAAGTCATAAGAGTAATGCGATGTGGATAGTTAAATAAATCAAGCAGAGAAAACAACAGTCTGCATTCTAACAGATACCAGGTTTGTACTACTGATTAGACTAGCATAAACTATCTCTCAGGGTGGAGCACTTTAGTTGTGGTACCTAGTCGAACTACTCAGTTATGTATAAAGCAACTACTCAATACAATTGAAATAAGCACATGAACATACAGGGATACAAACGAAGTGACAAAAACAGTTAAAGCCAGTATAAAAAGCATCCATAACAGTCCAATAACCAGCTCGATGAATTAAGCCATTATAAAAGGACTCCAATTATACCCACATTAGTTTAAGATTTAATACCTCAAGCTGTGAAAACTGTACTATCAAGTGATAGAACCAAGTAGATTAATATCTGAGGAAGCAGAGCTAGTAAAATCCAACCGACTTAGACTCAAACATGCTACGGATGTCCCCTCACTCAAACCCAAGTGCTAATGATATGAGGTACTGCCACTAATGCGCTATGGAACTAACCTACACACGCAGTTTTACCTTTACATGGAACATTCAGTCAACAGCTTTCAAAACTATTCAGTCATCCATAAGCTTACAGCACAATTAAGCGTGAAAACAATTATTGTAGGAATTAAAAATTCATTAGACGGTGTGGGAGGAAGTGAGGGTGTTAAACCTTGCATTGCAGGCGATTGTAATCAGCGATGTCCACCACGTCCTCCGCGTCGTAGATGGTGGAGCGGAGCCTCGCCGCCCACTGCTCCACGCGAGCCCTCTGCTCAACAGGAATCCTCTCCGCCCGCTCCAGCATGAGCACTAGGCGCGGCAGCATTCGAGACTCCAAGTCCTGTAACTTCTCGGACTCATCGAAACCAAGAAACTCAAATCCCTCATTAAGGATCTTGGTGACGATGGGTGACATGATCCAACTAGCTATGGATATGCTCCACCCAACTGCCGCAATGCTAGCCATGGCTCTGGAACATAAAAAAAGGAAAAAAGAAATTAGAAATGACCAATAATGATCTAACTTATCCAAAATGCTCCAACTCAATGTAATTCAAAATGGAATAGAAGTGCAGAGTCCCAGAAAGATAATAGAATAACAACTTGACATGAAACCAGACTATTAGAGATATAGGCTCCGTTCGCTGGTCTGAATTTTGGCTGAAACTGGTTGAAAAACACTGTTCCGACTGAATTGCTGTGAGAGAAAAACACTGTTCCGGCTGAAAAAACAAGCCGAATATGGGGTAAGCCGAATGAGCCCATAAAGGCACGTCGAATCGGTGGCCTCCCAGGGTATCCACGTACGTTCTATTTAGTTGGTGCGTTAGATAAAAATTCCACGACTCAAATGAAGCGCGTCACAACCAGCCTTCCTCCGAGCATTCGGCAGTGGATAGATGAAGCAAGTTGACGCATTCAATGAAGTAGGGCTTCCCTGGTGATTGTATGTTAAAGGCAAATGGACGGTGGCGCATAGCAGGGGACGGTGGATTCTCGGCATGTATGGCCGGTGCCTAATTAGCATGGTGGTCGGCACGCATGTGAGTACTCGTGCGTGCATGTTGCTGGGGCCTTGCTTACTTTGCATGCATGCAAAAGCTATCTGTTTGTGTATGCGGGTACACTGCTGACACTTGCTTGCTTGTATGCTTCCTGCTACTACGTGCGTGCATCTGTCAGCAGCGGGTGAGTTTTCCCCCTCCGCCTCCTTCCTCCCTCTCTCTCTTCTCTCGACCTCCTCTCTCTTTGCCCCTCTCTCTCCACACGGCGGCGCATCCAGGCGGATAGGACGAGGCGACAGCGCACCGGCTGGCCAGGCCGGCCAATGGTGCGGGCGGCCCGGCGGCGCCTCTCTCTCTTCCTCTCCCTCTCCCTCTCTCCAGATCTACAACCGCATCGGTCGGCCTCCGGCGCACCGGCGTGGCCAGGCGACGACGGTGGGCGCAGCCGCCTTCCCCCCCCTCACAAGATCTCTCTCGCGCCATTGCTTCTGGGTGGCGGCAGCAGTCATGAAGCCACTGATCCCAGCTGCGTGTGCGCTGGAGCACCAAAGATGAGCGCTGCCCGGTCTGCATGCCTCCGACACGGCGCCAGCAGCTAAGCGGGCACCGCCCGGTGTCATGGCTCCCCAGGGGCGGTGGTGCAGGTGGTCTCGCGGCTCCCCTCAAACCTTATCCTCTCCCCATCTCCCACCAAGGCCACGAGAAACTTCTCGCGGCCCACCTCTCTCTGCAACCTCCCGTTCCCACGCTCCCTCTCTCCGCCCTGGCGGGCGCGCCGCCGCTCTGCGCATCCTCATCGCGTCGCCGCCGCCATCTCTCCCCTATAGACTAGGTCTTCCGCATCTGCGCCACAGACGTCTGTCTCGCTGCTCTGCGATGGGCGCCCGCCTCCCATGCGCCCCAGCAGCGTAAGGGAGGTCCGCCCCCCACGCTCCCCCGTGACGGCGGGGGAACCAAAGACGGCCGGGCCCCGTCAAGCGGCGGTGTGTGGCACCCTGCTGCTGGCAGCCCCAGCCAGTGGCACCGCCACGGACCAGCCTGCCCGATGCAGGCGCCCCCCGCCCTACAGTCCTCTCCTTCGCATGGAAGCTGCACCAGCGTCGTCCCCCAGGAGCCTCAACACGAGGTATGCTCTACCTTCTTTCTTTTTATTCTGTCATTTTTTTGGAAACCATGTGCAGATGTGATTCAGTTAGATGTCAATAGCAAACATATACAGTAGCAATTATATACCGTCTCAATTTGCAATACGAACTGTATATTTCCTCTGCTATGGTTTGTGCAAGGGAATTGATGAATCTCATTTTACAAATAATTAGGCCTCCTCTCCATGTTTTCCTCTGCTAGGTTAGTTTGCTCTTGCCAAATTACCATGTATAGTGCTAAGATCTGCAGTCATTTTCTGTTATATATATTGACACCAACTTTTCTTTTCTCCAGTCATATTGCAACAAAAAAGTGTGTGACGGCCTTGAACATAACATAGTAACAGGCCACCTCCCTACTTGCTCTGTTGGTTCTTTACCCTTTTGGAGAGTCAAAAATACATTGACATTTCAGGAATTTACTTACAGGCAGCTCTGCCTATTGAGTATTTATTGCTTCGTTGCAAAAAACGTCATGCAAGAGCGAGGTTCCGAAAGTCTCTACTTGCTGTTTGGATTTTGTGATCCCCAGCCAATTTTGAAGGTGCTACGACTCCGTTGGGCTACTGCCGTTTCCATGGTGCAGTCTGCTGATTTGTTATCGCTGGTGCGTTTCAGCCCATCTATAAGATACAGGGGTACAGCTAATAGTTCTGTTTTCGTATATCTTATACGTCTACATCCGCATCATTTTATTTTTTCCCCCTTATGATGTGGTCCTGAGTATAGTTGAGTTTACTGTATTTGAATCATTCTGTTCTTATTTCTGACATTAGTGTTCTCTAGGTGAACATGTCAAGGCACCAAACACATGAAGATGCTAATATTGCTACATGTATAATCTGTGTTTCCTTTTTTTTTTTGGCGAAAAGATCTCTGCAAATGGGTGCATCACACCATCACTGCATCAGTTAGCTTCGTACATTCCTACTGGGGCAACAAAAATTGCTGCATATGTTTCTAATGGCCCAAGAAAAAAACTTTGCTGATGGTTTTTTACATGCTCCATGTTGCCATAGGTAAAAGCATAAAACAATGTTCTTTAGACACCTAGGTATTCTAAACGTACTCATCATTGCTGTCAGAATTTTCTAATGACCAATTCTTGCATTTCTGCTTATTTGTGTCTCATGATGATCTAGGCCTATATGCTTTATACAAACATCCTATGAATAAGGTCTTACCAAGTACAGATCATGTGCAGTCTCCTACATTGTCATTGTGCAGTTATTTTATCTCAACTGATGATAAACATTCCCCTTAACTGAATCTGTCGTTGTCATGGTTATCACACCTTACAAGGTAGTTTTCAGAAATTGGTTATGAAATTTAACTTCGCATCTGAGTTGTAGGATTTAGGGTCGTGGAGAAGCAGAACTATTTGTAGGATCTGCTATCCGTATCTTTGAAGAATTAAAATATGGAGTGCACTGTAGGTTAACTGGTTCCAAATTGAAGTGCAAACCTTGAATATGTTCGACAGTTGACACAACCATTATTGGGAGCCATTATTCATTGTGAAAATGCACATTCTGAATTGTATAATGCTGATGCGCCATTTAACATAATCCCTGATTATGACTGGAGAACTAATGTTCCTCAGCACCCCACAATGGGTCACAAATCATCTGCTTTGCATAATGCGGTATTGAAACTGCATGTGTTAGTTTCCACCTTCAAGCCAGTGCTTCCCAAAATCCCCATAAGCGGATTATCCTTTTGTGGTGGTGGAAGCACATATGCATGTATTAATGAACAGTTCAGCAGATTTATTCATATTTCTCAGTGTCAGTGGTAGCTGCTGCATACTTCGTAAGCTGTGTGAAGAGTCTTACTCAAATTAAGTATTTTCTCAAATCTCAAAAACAAACCTGGAAAGATTGTACAAATTGGAGGTCAAATATTGCTGTTAGTTAGCAAGTCCTTCGCAAAATAAATCAAGGGGACTTATCTTGATGAAGGTATATTGATTGAACCTTGCTAACTTATTGAAACAGGAGGAAATATTTGGTCCAGTGCTTCTCTTAATGAAGGTATCCTGAATTTCTTTTTTCCTTTACTTTCAGCATCAATAGGTTTTGCTGTGCTGCCATTACTGATCCTTTTCTTTTCTCCAAATTTCAGGCAGAGAGCCTAGATGACGCCATCCAAATTATAAACAGAAACAAGTAATATCTTTCTCCTCTATGGTTGTAGATCTGAAGCATTCCTTGCAATCTAGTATAAATTATATTTATTTGTCCCTGTCTGCAGGTATGGCAATGGGGCTTCCATATTTACAACATCTGGTGTCTCCGCCAGCAAATTTCAAACAGACATTGAAGCTGGCCAGGTATAGTATGTGTCATTTTCAAAACATTATCACCAGATTGCATTGCATATGCTACTTAAAAAAGAAAAGAAAAGAAAGAAATGGTTCCATTCTGAATTTGATAAAACTAGGAACCAGAAGAAATGAAGTGACTCTTGCAGCATGTATTATTATTCAAAACGTTTTTATGGTTTCATTTGCAGGTGGGCATCAACGTGCCGATTCCAGTTCCCCTGCCATTCTTCTCCTTCACGGGAAGCAAAGCTTCATTTGCAGGAGATTTGAATTTCTACGGTACACCCTTCTCAGCTTAACACCACTTGATCCTTCCCCAATAGTCACAATGGCACTCACATAATCGCAAAGAAGTTCTATTTGTGAGTAACTAACACGATGGCATGGGATATCAGGCAAGGCTGGCGTGCAGTTCTTCACCCAGATCAAGACGATCACGCAGCAGTGGAAGGAGTCGCCCGCGCAGCGAGTCTCCCTCTCCATGCCCACCTCTCAGAAGTGAGACGTCATGGACCCCTCACTCTACTCTCCTCTGGACGTAGACCCATGCATGGCCACCAGTTGTTCAGGTGATTGGTAGGCACGGCAGCACTCCATGCATGGCCATGATACTAGTGTGCTCGATCGCTCTTTTGTCGGACACCATGCATGCACATTCAAAACATCCAATTACTAAGATTTAGATATGAGCGCTGCACATTCTGCTGTGTAAAGGTTAAAGAACATTGTAAAAGCCCCAGGTCTGTAGATCGAGTGTCATGTGTCGCTGTGCTGGTTTGTGGTATTTGCCTGTGCGATTTTCCCTCACAAATATGGCAACCTACATCCCCGGTCGTCTTGGCCAGTTGGGGGTATATATATCTCATATATATTCAATAGAAGTACTCCATCCGTCCTCAAATATAGAGCATTTTGGTCATTTTCAGATAAAATAAGGAAAAATACAATAGATGTATGTATCCCTTACTTACTTTCCTAATGTATTGAAATCTTATTCTTTTTCGCATGATTAAAAGGTGAACTCTTAGTCTCTTTATACAAAAATATGATAAGTACATGAATTACTTTCCTTATGTAAAATAATCACATATTTTATTTAAGTAAACATTATCTTCTTGTTCCCGAAATGCACTATATTTGAGGATAAATTTCAAATGCCAGAATGCACTATATTTTAGGACTGAGGGAGTAGAATATAAACCTATGATCTCCACTAATTTTTGGATTATTAAACTGATAGCAATGCAATAATATTTTAAAAGAAAGATCCTATTCAATCATGACTTGCATTATCTAGTAGAGATGGAACAAGTCCTAGAAAGTGCAAATTAAATGTGCATATTTTCCGCAAAAAATAGAGTGACTTGTGACTTACCTAGCAGGAGTTCTTGTCCCGTGGTTTAGAAATGTTTTGCTATTTTTTCTTCAATTTTCTAAAAATCATCAACTCACCTCTATAAATGATATTAGTAGAGGTGGCTCTGTTAGCTGATTAATAGAGAGTTTTTTTTAGAAGAAATTGATTTATAGAGAGGTGACCTGGCCGACCAGCTACTCAAATGGCTCATTAACATATAACATTTGAAGAAGCGATCCGGGCCCCCCAACTCTAAAAATAAAAAATGACCAGTGAAAGTGAAAGCGACCAGTGAAAGTGACACGGCGAGGGAATCTCAAGGACGTGGGAACGAAGTATAATAATCCTATATATGTGGACGACATCGCCCTCGTTAAAACAAAGTAAAAACAACAGGATAACCAAGGCAACTACGGAAGCTTCGTCTTAGCTTTGCTTAGATGTAGTAACACAAGCAACGAACATGATGCATTCCTTTTCATCAACAATACAGTACTTACTGTACTGGCAGAAGGAGCGATCATGATAGATGCTTTCATTTCCTTGTTGCCACCTGATGCTGCTTTCCTTCGCAAAAGAGCAAAGCCGCTACTCCATGATGATGCGACAATGCAAGCAAGACAGAACGAGAATGATTTGCTGCCATCAAACAGTAAATATACTTATCACTCCCTCCATCTCAAATTATAAGTCAGTCCAAAAATCTTGAAGAGTCAAAGCATCTCAAGTTTGAACAAATTTATATGATAAGATAATAACATTTATGATGCTAACTAGGTATCATTAGATTTTTCATTAATTATATTCATAGTATATATATTTGATGTCACAAATCTTTATAAAATTTTCTATAATTTTGGTCAAATTTGATATGCTTTGACCCTCTAAGATTCTTGGTCGGCACTATAAGATGCCCTTGGTCCTTGCTCTTCTTCTTCGTCCTCATCCCTCTCGAATCCAAAGCAGAGCTACGAGATCTAGTCGTCATTTTAGAACTAGGTTCGTCTGACAGAGGCGATGGTGTAATCTGAGAAGAAGGGATCTGGTTTTCGAAGAAGTTCAAGTCTACCGTTGGTTAGTTTGGTCTTAGGGTTCACGATATTTGATTTCTCAGTCTCCTGTTTCTGGATCTGTTGGTCATACATCATGTTTTGGATAATCATTATCTTGTTGTTTCCCCATTGCCCTCGTCTATCCCGACTTCTGGAGTAAGCCTTGGTTGTATTAGGTTGCTCTTAACCATGTAACTTTAAATCCCGGTGTAATTTAGTGTTCGACGTCGTGTAATATTTCGTGTAATTCCAGATTTACGAAATGTGTTGTAGTTTCGCCTAAGGGGAGTGGATCCTAATTCACTCTTTTGTAAACCCTCGCGTTAGGAGACGTACTTGTGTTGTAGTTTTTTCTCTTTCCACCTATAATGTAATCCTAGCCAATGTTGTGCTTTGAATCTAAGTGTGTTAGTTGCTTGAGCCCAACTCCATCAGATACTTCTTTCCACTAACATGTCATTAATTTGTTGGCCTAGAATAGGCACCATGTAATAACAAAACAACATCTATATTCATTTACAACATTATAATGAAAAAAACCATGTTATCTTTCCTTCCCATATTTTTCCATTTAATGTACCAAATAGACCAACCTTTCATAACAACGCGATGAGAAAACATATTAGACATATGAGCCATATTTTTTAAGATTTTTCCTATACCAACCACATCACCCGCAGCGAAGCGCGGGCAGCAGTGGCTAGTTTATGTTATGACCGGTGTCCAGTACACCAGGCGTAGGCACGCCAGTGGCTAGGAGGACGCCGATCAGTAGGGGGGCAAAGGGTTCAGTCATCTCCTTGATTTGCTATTTCCTATTTTTAGTTCCATGAAATTAGGATCTCAAGATTGATTGTTTAGAAAGAGATAAATATCTCCAAACAGTAATAGAGGAAATTAAGCAGAGCAACAGATTTGTTGCTAGGCTTCTCACCGTGCTCTCTCTCTCTCTCTCCCGTTCGTCCTCCTCGCCGTGCCCTCACAGCGCCGACTCGCCGCCGGGGGCTCAAACCGTGGCCACTGGTCTCATTTCCCTACAACCTTCGCAGCAATCGCCGTAGGGTCATCGATCCTACCAATTTACCTTGCTGAACACATTACAGACGCAAAATTCAGTAGAACAAATTGGAAGTGACACGTGAGCGTCTCCTTAAAAATATTAATGTCAAAATTTGTCCTATGTAAAATCTCATGACATACGACAAATATTAAAATAGGATAATTCTATTGAGTGCAGATGTATGTTGCTGCAAAACATGACTTAGTAAGGTAATTACTGCCTATGTACAAAATATCCTATCAGCAGACAAACAATTTTGATGAAAACCTGTCTTTTTAAAATCAATCAGAAATGTCATTTTTTATATATGATTTTGCTCAAAAATTGAAATATGATTTTCATCAAGGACATTCTGTATGGCACCAGAGTTTGAATAGGTTATAGGTTAATCTATCGCTCAATTATCTAACAAGATAACAAACCAATATAGGTTGACTTCGAAATTGAAAATTCGAAGGTTTGCCTCCACATGAGAAGTAGTGCAGTACTCCAGCAGGATCTGTTAGAAACGATAGGCAATATAAATGACGAAGAACAGTAGATCAAACACAGGGAACACGAGATTTTTAACATGAAAAACCCTCCAAGGAAGAAGGGAAAAATCACGGGCACCAACCAGCAAATCTTCACTATATTGGGTGATGTTACAAACGTCGGGGATTTACAACTTTTCTTATCCCAAGACGACGGCTCACAGGAAGTATATATAGATGGAAAACCCTAATAGGCGACGGCCCAAGCCTCCCGACGATGGGCCTCGCTTCGCTCCGGCAGAAGTTGGCCTTTATCTTATACGTAACTGAATTTAGGTCCCAACTCAGCAGGATCACAGGTAAGGAAATAAAATGCAGTCATTTTACGCTGAAAGACAAGAGACCTGAAGAATGAACCAACTCCAGGTGTCAAACCAATATTGTGCCCAGCGTGAACATGTTAGTGCAAGCAAGCATCCATTCAGGGACTCACCACGGCATGCTCTGCCATCTCTCCCAACTGAACACGGATCATTTTTCTCTAAAGAGGAGATGTACTGGAGACCAGAAACTGAAGAGGAGATCGGAAACTGAAGGGGATCCAGAGATAGGATACCTGAGGTCGGGGCAAGAGGCGCTGCGAACTGACTGGAGGCACGCAGCCGCCGTCCTGGCTGCCGGTTGGTGTGGAGGTAGAATTTTTTTTATTTTTAACATTTTTTAAACTAATTTTAAATTTAACACTGTTTTTTTTTTTCAAAACTAACACTTTTGGCCGCGCCTATTGGCATGGCGCGGCGAAAAGCCTATGCCGTGCTATGCATGGTGGCGCGGCGAGAGAGGTGACGTGGCGACGACCGGGGCGCTGACCGGTGACGTGGCAGGGTCTGCCGCGCCACCGGTCTTGGCGCGGTAGGACCAGATAAATAACGCCCGCGAGCCGCCCTCCCTCCTGCCTGCTCGTGAGCCGCCTGCCCTCTTGCCCGCAGCGCCGCCATCGCCGCGCCTGCCGTGCCACGCACGCCGCGCGCGACATGAACTTCAACCCTCGCTGAGGTAAAATTTGGTGCCTATTTCTTCATAATCAAAACTCTCATACCTTCAGTACCCCTTTATATTAATTGTTAGCCATTAGATTTAGAGATTCTTTTAAAATATACTTTAGCCATTAATTTATCTTACATTGTATTATTATTTATATACTTTAATTGTTAATTTTCTTACAATGTATTATTAATTATAGCGTAAACAAATGTCTAATTAAAAGACACGTGAAATATAAATCTATTTATGTGTTTTTTGTGCACTAGACATACATATATATATAGCGACAAATTTGGTTGGTTGAATTTTTATGATTTAAATTGTTATATGCTTGTTTTTTTACATGAAAATATTAATCTAAATGATCATTTTACTCAAGCATATATTGAAAGCACTAGAACCTCTAAAATCATGCACAACATCGTCGATATCGTACTGCTATGAGTCCACCATAGTATTGTGCGAAAAAATAGACAGCTTGTATTTTTAGACATATTAGTATAGAGTATAGGATTA